GGCTGCATGTGAGCACTGCTGAAGCAGGAGGCGATGGTGATGCTAGGTGGAGAACCTTTTATTTGTCTTTAAATTTTTGTAGCACTGGGGATTGAACCCTTGTCCTTTGCTTTGAGTTATGTCCCCACCTCGCCCCCACTGCTTTTTCTTTTCTTTTCTTTCTTTCTTTCTTTTTTTTTTTTTTTGAGACAAGGTTTCACTATGTAATTCAGGCAGACCTTGCACTCACTATGTTGACCTAGCTCTTCTTGAATTTGCAGTAGTTCTGCCTCTGCCTCTAGAGTGCTGAAGTTATAGGTATGTGCCACCGTGCCCAGTTTTTCAAATTTTCTTTTCCTGCCTTTGATGGTCCTATGTTCTCTGCAGAGTGTGTTTTCTTTTCCTACCTTTAATAAATGTAAAATGGTAGTGAGATTTCACTACCTTTTATGTTTGTTTTGTGCAGTGTGGCATGTGTCAAGAATTTGTCCTCCTCCTCTCTGATTTAGTAAAGGTCTGTTAAGCACCTATTGCAATAGCAAGCAGAAATGATGAAATGACACCCAGGATTTGGAGGCAGATTTATTTATGTTGATAGTGACCAGGATCATTCCCAGAATATCAGGCCTTGATCTCTCTCTAGTGGTCTAGGGCTTGTGTGGGATAAGCACGCAGGAAGTACAGAGGCAGAATGGCTTCTCAACTGGGGATTGGTTTATTCAATGTGCATCACAGCCACTAGCTCTTTCTAATGGAGCAGAAGCAAGTGGATGTGGACCAGGAAGTAACAGGCTGAGCAAACAGGCTGAAGTACACTGGCTAGGGTGTGGGCATTTTTCTCCTATACTATCAAGTGGAGAGAACTGTGAGACTACATGTGCAAAGTATGTAAAATGCCTTTTCCTCAGAGATTCGTCATCTACAGAGACAGATACATGCAGAACACAAAACACAAGGCAGGTCAGGAAAGGTGCTGTGTCAGACTGAGGAAAAACCAGGGTCGTGTGGGTGGGGAGAAGGGCCTGAGAAGCCGGAGGAGTGGGCCTCTGAGAAGAAGCCAAGAGAGGGGCCGTGCATGCAGCTCAGCAGCATAGGCACCTGCCTGGCAAGTGCAGGGTTCTAAGTTTAATTCCTGGTATTGAAAAAAAAGGCTAAGAGAGGAGTGGGCAGTGGAGAGTGCGAAGGCATCAGTCTCATGTGCTTTTTTCTTTGTTTCAACTACTTCCTTTGGATTTACCATATATGTGTATATTTTGCAGGGTCTCCACCAACTATAGAGCATCAGGGAAGTGGGGACACAGGGACAAGCACTTGCTCAGTAGCCATGGCAACCAGGACAACCCTCCCAGGCTCTTTGAAAGCAGCAGAAATGAATGAGCAGGTTAGATTACAAGAACATCAGGGCTTCTCTCTTCTGATTCCTCAGATTCCAACAACACTGTATTTGGTTTCTGCTCTGTTGACTTTTCTGTCCTAGTTCCCCATCTTCCTTCAAGGACATTCCCCACTGACTGGTCTTTCATTTTCTTTTTTTTTTTTTTTTCTTCTTGTCTTTTTAAGACAGGGTTTCACTATGTGGTTCAGGCCAGCCTTGCACTCACTTTGTAGCCCAGGCTGCCTTGGACTGACTCGCCCCAATCCCCTTGCCTCAGCCTCCCAAGTGTGGGGATTACAGGCGTGTGTGCACCAGCACACCTGGCTTGGCTGGTCTTTCTTACTAGTACCCTGTACAGAAAGGAGGCCATAAAATTTGCTTCTTCTCTCATTCAGAAGTGGAATCTGATGCCTGATTTCTGGAATCCAAGCTGGCCTGGTGACTTACTTGCCAAACATTATAAACAAAGCAGCAGTCTTGAGACCTCCTCAGAAGCCCACCACCAACTGCAGCTCACTGTGGATCTTCTATCAGTGACACATAGAGCAAGAGAATTGTCCACTGCACTACTGCCAAACATTGTAGAGGTTTCAAAGAAAACAA